TCTTTTGATCAATTTAATGTGTGCTTGAATAAAACTATTATTATTATTATCTTAAAAAATGGTATAGTTTAAATGCAGTGGTAAAACCAGGATTTTGTTGCTTTTATGGGAAGGAATATCACCAATATCAACCTTGGATTAAATTAGGCTTTGTAGAAAAACAAACATCCAGATTCATGTACAAAGTATCTTTACTGCAGCAGCGGAGTGCAACATGAAATGTCATTCAAAATGAAACTGAGTGATAAAACAGTATACAAAGCTTTATCTTTGCCACAAATGACAGTGGTTAACTGGACGAATAAACATAATATTGTTCATTTACGAAGAAAAAAAGGGCTTATTTTTGATATACTTAGGTTTAACTTAGATACAAAACTGTGTGCATATGCACAATCAAATCTCTCCTCTAAATTCTGATTGACGTCATATCTGAACATGATTTTCACCACCTTTAATGCTTGAATGAAATCCCCCCCGACCCTCCCCGGAGCTGGAGCAGCGCTTGCAAGACTGCTGATACATGAAACTTTCCTCACAAATCAACAGGCAGTGACGTGAGAACATAAAATTATGCAGACATTCAGACTCCATTAGACCAGAGGAACTGCTTCCATCACACAAAACCCATGTCATACGAGGCACACAGAAAGGCACAATACTCCATTTCACCAAAGCACCTTTAACATTTCCCACAATACATGTGGTAAAATACTTCAGTCTTTGTTCACCTAGGACAGAGAGGATGGTGTTGTTATGGCTTCTCAATTCTTATTGTTTTGAACACTACAATACAAAATGGAAACCTTTCCGTTCCAAGAACGACCAATACATAATACTGCCATTTGGTGTTTGATACAGTACAGACCGTCAATACCAGGTCATCATTCAAGGCACCCAAATGAAAAAGTGGTGAATATAATCGATTGACTTGAAGATGTACAGCATTGTTTTTACTGATATCTGTGGTTCATCAATGGATGATTACGTATAACTTTGAATAAAATGGAATCTTCGACATCCAAAAACTTCTCTAGAGTAACCTCTTTGTGACTGAGTTAAAACGTCTTGATTGAAACGAAACATTTAGACATTCATATTTCAGTGAAGATACAGTTAAATATGCATGTTGAGGTTAAATGAACATTGTTGTTCCCTACAGCTTCTGGGAAAGGAAGGGCTTGCCAGATGAAAACATCCTTCCATCAGATCAGGACTGTCTTCTGGTAGAGATCGAGTGAGGCAGGGCAGTGTGCCTGCATGCTAGGGGCCGTGGTGCAGGAGGGGTCTGTGGTCGTGCTGAACTCTGTCCCATATCTGGTCAGTTTGTCTCACGCTCTGTCCTTACGCTTCAGCTTATTGAGCTTCTTTGTGCTGCTGTTCTTGTTGAGCAGCTTCATGACACGCTCCTTGTGATCCAGCACCTTCAGCATGGAGTCACGGGCTTCTGTGATCTGGTCCATCACCAGCTTGCAGCGCTGCATGTTCCCCTATACAACGAAACAGTATTATAATTACTATCAATTGTGTAACTACCATTTCAAATTTTGGTGTCAGTAAGAAGGTTTTACTTCCCCCAAAGAAAATACTTTTATTCAGCAACACATTAAACTGATCAAAAGTGACAGTAAAACATTTATAATGTTACAGAAGATTCCTATATCAAATAAATTAAGTTGTTTTGATCTTTCTATTCAGCAAAGAATCTTGAATAAAATGTATCATGATTTCCAGGTAAGCATCACAATTGTTTTCAACATTGATAAGATATATTTCAAAATAGAAAATAATATTTCATATTATATATTATTATATAATATATTATATTTGTATTTTTGATCAAATAAATGCAGCATTGAGCATTGAACAAAAAAAATCTTAAAGGGGTCATATGATGCTTTTTTAAAGATCATTATTTTGTGTATT